AAAAAAAAAATTGTTTTAAAGTTCCCCAAGTGATTATAATCTTCAGCGACAATGGAGAACCAGTGCAATTAACACTTTCTGACTGACAGTAATATTGCGATTTGTTTGAAGAAGTCTTCTTAACTTGATCACCAAATAGATATCTGGATAATGAAGATCAGTGAAGAAAGTGAACACAGTATCTTTTTTAAATAATTTTATTGATATAATTTACAAATAATATGCTCATTTTAACAGATGATATGTCTTAACAAAAGTATATACTCACATAACCACTCCCTCAATATAGGGAACATTTCTCTCACTGCAAAAAGAGTCCCTCCTATCTTTTTGCAATCAAGTCCCCCTACCCCACCTCAGGAAGCCACAAAGATTTTTAAGACACTCTCTTTTAAAGAACAGTGACATAACCTCTGAAGGAAATTTACTTTCCAATTTGCCTTTTGAAGGTATATTTTTATTCCCTTTTAGATTAGTACCCTTGAGTGTACCCTTATCCCTTTGACCTATAGTTTGGAACATAACTGGTACATCAACATTGTAAGTAAGCCAAGCTTAAACAAGAGAATTACTAAATTCAATTAGGGCTAGGTTAGTTCAAGATTTGGAGGAGGAAAACTAGCAAATTTGACATTAAGACATCTTACCTACTGGCACAGAGGTCTTTCTTTTCTTGAAGTTTGACTTAAACACAAAGCAGCCCTATAAAAAAGAAAGAAAAAAATCATAAAGTCAAAGTAACCAAGGAACAGAAAAATCTATTAACCAAGTATGGTTAAGCAGATTGAAAAAAAAGTGTTTCTTTAAAGTGCTAAGAAATCATCGCTTTACTCTGAACTATAGAAGGAAAACTCTTAAACAATGTGGGGACTATTTCCTTCTCCTCCTTCCCATGAGACGTTCAACTTTGATTTTGGTCTTTGAGACCTGATCTAAGAGGCAAACAAAAAAAAAAAAACGCTTATGAAATTTAAACTCAGAAAGGTTTCATTTTTATAAAACTTAAAAAACATTAGTACTATACATTAAAATGAAGATTAAGAAGATCAAAACTAGTGATGCTCTGAAGCTTCAAAAAAAGTATTTATTATATAATTAAACTCCAAGTAACTATAACCTTGATGAGAAATAGATCATTTTGGCTCTTGTTTCACCTTTCCTCATCTGATAAACTCTTATTCATTTATCCATTACACTTCAACTCTAACTCACCTGGTCTGGGAAACCTTCCCCAACTCTCTAGTCAGAATTATTCCTTTCCCTAAGATCTCACAGTACTCAAATATCTTTACTTTGCATTGTTTTAAATCACTCTATCGTAGTTATTTAGGGCCTGTCTCCCCAAGTAGTTTGTGAGCACCTTCAGAGCACAGACTGCATTTGGTTCATAATCGTTTCCTCAATGTTTGGAACAGTGTTAACATGTACATATATCAATCAGTATGTGGAATGAATGAATACTTGCCAAGTAATTTTCCTGGTACTTGCTTAGTTTCATGTTATTATCTGACTAGTGATACAAAGTCCTCAAGCTACTGGTTCTATGTTTATTCTACCAGTCTTAAAGCCACACACCATAGACAGCTTCTTAAGATTGCCATTTCTATGGAAAATGAAAGAAAAATGAAAGAACTACACCTAAAAAACATCATCTCAGGATAGTGCTAAAGACAGCAGTGCAAATATAAAGTGGCCATTTAGATTACAGATCCAAAGTGAGAACTATGCCTTATATTCTTGTATCTCCAACTAGTAGAACTATTTAAAATATATGTAAGTATTTAGAAAAATCAAGTGGTACCATGACAAGCTTGTCCTTGCCTCCTTTCTATATCCATCTGCAAGTCAGTCAAAGAAAAAGTTATGAAAGAGTGAGATGTGAAGAGTGCCAAGAATGTACTGCAGTGGAAGTAATATGGTTAACCGCTCTGAACTCTTGAACAAGGGTTGGTGTTTGAGATGGAGGAAGAAGTCGAGGAGGGCAGACAGCAAGAAAACACAAGAGAAATTTGCATAGGTTAAAAAAAAAAAAAAGCTGACAGTTCTATGAACTCCTGAAATAGTCTTTAAATATTCTTACTTATGTAAGGTCTCCTTCGTAATCATCTCAATACAAGCATTACTGTTACGAAGCCATAAAAGCTTTCCTAAAAAAAAGTTCACAATTCTACAAGAGATAAAAAAAATAAGAGGCTCCAGCAACAAAAAGGATTAGGGGACAGACCACTCAAAACCTGTGGAATTTTATAACCAGAGCAAAATAAAAACATACCAACCCTAATAAAAAAAAAAAAAAAGTACTAGCACAGTTAAATCTCTTCTGCTGTTTGCACCTAGCATCAGAGTCAGTCAATCCTTTGTAAACTTAAACCCTACGACTTGTAGCTCCTCCTTGATATGTAGTGTTGAAAGGCATTGCTTCTCATAATTTTTAGTCAAAATCAAAAATTAGATCCATGGTATAGCCTTCTTCATTAATCTATTTTAACAAAGAAATGTCTTTGCAACTTCTTCATCTGCATTCTCAGTTTTAAGTTAAGACAGCTTAACTTCAGGGGCTTCCAGTTGTACTCATATTACTGCAGGTCTTTAACTTTATAGCAGCGCTGTCCAATAGAACTTTCAATAAGGATGGAAATATCATAATCTGCACTAATACAGTAGTCACAGCCACATGCGGTCACTGGGCACTTGAAATATGACTAGGGAGACTAAGGAATTGAATTTTTAATTTTATTTAATTTTATTTTAATTTTAAAAGCCACGTGGCTTGTGGCCACTGCACTGGAAAAGAACTCTATAAAGTGTATCTTCTTATGAACTACATTACTATGTCTCGCAATGCCTGACCGTCTAAGCAGCTCAAATGAAAAGATCTATATGATCTCACTCACTCACTCAAATACATACATACACACACGCACTACACTGCTTTCATTCTCTTGTTTCATAGTTTCTTCTGTATCTCCACTCTCTGATTATATGGATTTTTCAATTCTGTTAATATGCCATTTTATTTCTATCTTCTGTGCCAAAGAATATGTCATTCTCTCTGCTAGAACCGTCCCTCAGCCCCTCAATCCTTTACCTAACCTTTTACTCATTTTTCAGGTCTCAGATGAAATGTCACTTTCTCCAAAGGCCTTCGCTGACCAGCCTCCCCTCCCCACCCCCCACCCCCGCACGGGACAATCTAGATTGGGTTCTAGTCACTCTTCTGTTCTTTCACTTAGAACTTTCTTTTTTGCTAACATTTATCACAATTTGTGGTTAGTTCATCTGTGTTTAGTGCTTTTCTTGAGTGCAAAAACGGAGTCTACTTTATCATTGTATTCGGGTAGCTAACGGCGTGCTCGGAGCACAACAAACATTTATAAAAAGCAAAAAAAAAGGCGGGGGGAGACTGAGGCATACCCTCCGGGCATCCGGCCTCCACAAACCAGAACTTAAAAATCCTGCTAGTCGGAATACTAAGGCAGATAGGTGTCTTCGCTCCTCAAGGAAAGTTAACCTCAACTGAAGCCGGAGCAATGACGCCTCAGCCCGGCCCCGCCGCTCCTTCCCCTGGAGTCCGTACAAGGAGGCTTACGTAACCTCCGCTTCATCTCTTCTTCAAAGGGGAATGAGGCGGCGGCGGAGTCCCAGTGGGCACCTGCCCCCACGTACCTTGGACACCGAGGAGGTGGACATGGTCCCGGGGGCCTGCGGGATTCCAGATGCTCGGGATTTCCCGCGCTCCCTCGCGGCAGCGGGGCAGAGGTTAGAAGCGAACCATTGGGCTCCTTCATTGGCTGACATCATCCTCGGGGGCCGGCTTCCGGCGCTCGGAGGCGGGGCTGCAGAGGAACCCGGGTCGCGCTTCGTGGAGCCCCGACATGGCGTGCGGCTTCCGGAGGTCCATCGCCTGTCAGGTACCAAATCAGGAACTGGCAGAAGGAGGGTCCTCGCTGAGCCCCGCACCCCAAAGCTGTTTCACAGCTGCGGGCCAGTCCTTAGTCAGCGGGAGGGCGGGTTCTAAGTAAACCCTGTTTATTTCTACCGCTTCCCTCTTCTTTCGAGATGCTTCAGCTGCTAAAGCAAACCTAGTGGGGGGCCAGGTATGCGGCCCTGATCAGTGTGAAAAGTAAACTTCGAAAGGCACATATTGCTTCCCTCACTATTTCTCACCCTACAGCTCTGTATTCTTTACCTGGGTGGAAAGTCATTGGACCATGCTTAGATCCTATAGAAATTAGTGTTGAACTCTTGAAATCAGGAGGCTTTGGCTAGAAATAAATGTTAAAGATTTATTCAAGGGCCTCAGGGTTTGTGATCCAGAAATACAACTAGATAATAACCAGAGTATTCCGAAGAAGAAAGAAAAGCTGAAGGTTCTTACAGTAAAATATCTATTCTTGAGAAGAATTAGTTCTGTGTGCTTAGCCTCTGTATTGGTCCCAGACTATAATCCTGTAGAGGACAAGTGGTCTGGATAATGGTTGTCACATCGTCTGGATACGTGAACATTCTTTAACCTTCAGAGGGTAACCGGAGGGTTATCTAGATGTTGGCTCTATATCTAAGCATTGATACAGGACTGGAAGGATGAAACTTCTAAGTTCCCAGGCTAGTTAAAACAAAAATAGAATTATTTCCTCGTACCACAACCTACTTGATTTTAATAACTTAGCAGCTTGACTATTGTGACTCCATTTTATTTCTTTATTCTTCAGTGTTCTTTACACTTAGTGAAATTGATGATGGATCTGAATTTTCATTATAAAGGATTTCATTTAAAAACTGGTCATTTCTCTTGTGGTCACTTTGGCTGCCTGCCCTACCATTATTTTTGGTAACCCCAAAGATAACAGGAGACCTTGTTTTTCTTGATTAGAGGCATGTTTGAACAAATTTGTAATGAGGAAAGGAATAAAACACTGCTGGCTTCCCAAATATCACCAACATACCTTTTGATAAGATAAAGTTGAATTTATGGCTTACTAGGGTAAGGAAGAAGACCACCTCAACAGAGTTCTGATAGTGTCTTACTGAAAAGGAAAGATTTTATTGAGGATTTGAAGGCTGGTCTTTCAGTGACAGAGTGAGAGGGCAGGATAGTGGAGATAGCTTGATTAGAATTGAGTACTTGCCAGTTTTAGGGACTGATGGAAAGAACAAGCAGAGGAATGCAAGGAACCTTAGGGCATAATGCTATCTCTTGAAAAATTGATAGATTTTTTTCAGGAAGTTCCTATAATGAACAATTAAGCTATTTGGGCAGGAGTCTCCTAAAATAGTAAAGTCATGCTAATAACAAAATAATAAAATCATATTAGTGTAAACTATGTCAGGGTAGGTAGTTTTGAACCTCAGTGTCCCAAGCTATGTGTGTTGGAGTAAAAAAAGTAAGGTGGTTTCCATTCTCAGCCCTTAAGTCAAGACACTGCCATGACCAGAAACATTTTGTGTTTAGTTTTGCAAAGGCTGTATGCTTCCTTATAAAGAAGGTAAGTTGGAGAAATAGGGAGTAATGTGTATTGAGTGTATATTTGTGTTAGTTACTTTACATTTACATTTGGGCCCTGTGACAACCCTATGACATAGGCATATTAGCCTTACTAGATAGTTGAGTAAATTAAGATCCAGAGAGATTAAAAAACATGCCAAAGGCCACTTGGTCAGTAAATTGAAGAGTTGATTTATGAACAGAGATCTAACTTCAGAATAAGCTCCTTCCTATACATTATGCTGTTTGTGAAGGCAAGGAGCACCATTTGCTTGTTAATCAGAGTCTAATAGATTTGTATGGCAACATAAACTAAGCAAATACATATATCTCTGAATATGGAATCATTGAGAGATGATCTGAAATGAGCATAAATAAAAATATGTGCACTGCCTGCCTTTACATATGAGGACATTTTGCTAGTTTAGGAATGAAGGAATATATTACATGCATTGGCACATTTGATTAATGAGTCTACAATTTTCTAAGAACTGTCATCGATCCAAAGTTGAAAATGAGTAGAATATAGCTTCAGCCCTGGCATGACTCCAGATTAACTTGGGAAACAGATATATAAACAGGTATTGCAGTGCGGTCTGTAACTACTAGGTTAGAAGCATATGTGATATGCTAAGAGAATATGGAGAAGAGAGCTTCTAAGTGTCAGGGAAGGCTTTGTGGGAAAGGCGGTGTTGGGGCTCAATCCTGAAGAGAGGATGGGTGGGAGTGTACCAGGTGAGTAGGGTGAGAGCTTGGGGAGCGGGTAAGATATTCAAGAAGAGCATGAGCATAGACACAGACACGTGGGTATGTTCACGGAACCACAATATTTGGGTATAGCTGAAATTTAAAGTATGCCTCTGATACCTCACTTCAGCAATTCCTGTTGATTTATCTTCAAAATAATATCTTGAATCAGTCCATTCTTTTTCATAACTATTGCCCCTCCCTTCATGCACCCCAAACCAAGCTACCATTATCACCTACCTCGACTGCTTATAAAGGTGTTCTAGACGGTTATTCTCGTACTCCCTCCATTCTCCTTATAGTAAAAGAAGTGTCTTCTAACATAATCAAATCATATTACTTACCTATTTAAAACTACATTGCATAAACTCTACCAGAACGTTAACATTTTTCTTTCCAACCTCATTGTACCACTCTGTCCCTTTCTATAGTATTCTAACCACATTATAATTTTCTATTTTTCCATTCCCATTGCATAATTATTCCTTTGCCTAAAAGAAATACATTTTATATCATGAACCTCTATGCAAGACGGAAGTTTCACAAAACAATACTTATAATGTGTGTGCATTGTTTTCGATACTGCTTCATTTTTCAAAAACTGAGAATTTATTCTCAGCTGACAACCTATAGTTTGAAAACTCTGTCCTCCAGTTATTTCCTATCTCAGACCATTGTTTGCTTCCATCATAACACTTATAAGAGTTAATAATTTACTGTTTTGTTTTACTTATTTTGGTGTATGTTTCCCCTGTAAGCTTCATGAAGACTGAGAGCATGTTTTATTCACTATTATTTCCCCATCACTGGCAAAGTACCTGAGACATAGGAGGTGTTCAATACACACTTGAAGAGTGATTGGCTGTTGTGATATAATCTAAAGTTTTCAACTTTACCAAATGAGTTCATAATTTTAAAGCTGTGAGATGACATTGTAATAGTGGAAAGGATTAAAATTCTAGCCTCTCCATTTATGCAGCTAACTTACTCTTGGCAGGTTAATTAACCAGCTGTAAGATAATGGTATTGATTCCAAGTTTATGGGATTTTCCCAAGGATTAACGATGATGATGATGATGATGGTGATGATAATAAAGAAGAAGAAGATAATATTAACTACTATTTGTGGGATATGTCATTTGTACCATGCTGTCTTTTGCTGAACTTTACAGAGCTATTGATATGACCTAAAGAGATAATGTTAACAGAAAATGTTTAGTGTCAAGAACTGTGAGGGGTCTGTGATTTTACCCTACAAGTTAGTCTACCACAGTTCCATGGATGTTGACAGAAAACATGAGACCCCTGGGTGAGAGAAAAGAATTTTATTATTCACAGCAGTACTAGTAGCCAGAGTATCAACGTTTTATCAGTTTCCCAAGCCTCTCTTCTTCCCACAGTGTGTAGAGGGTCAGATGATACCTTCACAGGCAGAGTGCTGTGTTATATAGGAGAGGAGCCCTGAGCCTTTTATAGTAGGCAGCAAACATGTTCCTTTTTCCTCTGTACTGGGACACCATTTCTCTTACAAATCTGTTTGCTCTACAAACAGCCTTGAAAAGATAGCCCAGAACAAAGCATTTTGTGCCTTGCTTACAAGACACACAGAAACATAAGAATTTTATAGAGATTTTTCTCTCAACACATAACATGGTGGTACTCATATGAAGTTTGCAGTATTTGATATCATCTCATTTAATCTTTTCAGTCATCCTATGATATTTGTATCATTATCTCCATTTTATAGAGGAGGACACTTAACACTCAGGAAGATGAGAAGAATAACTTAAAGTCACAGAGCTACAAAATTGTAGAGTTGAACTACTAACCCAACTGTTTAAATTCTAAAAGCTGAAATTCTTCATATTCTGTAGAATGACCTTTGTAAAATGTTTATCTGGCTCAGATTCATAATGATGAATCACTTTCTTTTTATTTAGATTTTGACATTAAACTTTAAGATAAATTCTGCTAGTTTGTTTTAATTTTTTTACTTTTAATTTTGAATTTTCAATTTACAGAAAAGTTGTGATAATAGTACAGAGTACTCCATATACTCTTTATCAAAATTCATAAATTATTAATATTTTGCCACATTTGCTTTATCATTCTCTCTAGCTATGTAATTTATTTTTCCTGTATCATTTGAGAGTAGGCTTCATGCATCTGGCACCTTAACCTTTTGATATCTATTGTTTACTTCCTAAGAACAAGGTTTATCTTATGTAACTCCAGCATAGTTCTTAAATTCACAGAACATTGATACAATACTTTTATCTAATTTATAGTCTGTTTCAGTTTTGTTGTTTTTCAATAGTCTTTTTTTTTCTTTTGGTGTAGAATCGCAAACTGCATGTAGTTGTTATGTAATGGTTACATTTTAAGTGACCTGATGCTCTCCTTCCCATTAATTTATATCTACATAACTTCATAGAGATACACTGCTAACTGTGAATGAAAGAGAGCCTCTGACTGCTGATGAGTTTTTTTTCCTTCAGTCTTTATTGAAATATAATAGGCAACTAGTTGCCTGCATTTGCATGGTACAGTTCAATGAGTTTTTTTTTTCTGTTGTAGTTGGCATACAACAC